AAAAATCAATACAATCCTATTGGAAAATTCGCACACACGACCTGGTTTTTCAAAGATCTCCTGGAAAACGAAGTTAGGAAATTTTTCTGAAACTGACTTTCGCTTATGAAAAGATGTCTTAAAGTGTCCTCTTTCTAATGCAGAAAACCGCACTTCATTATCTATCTCCCGCGAGGAGTTATTCAAAAAGCAACCGAGTGCCAACCATTTTGAAACGGAGAGTAGTTGACTCTAACATAGAGACAAACAACAGTAACTAACAATAGTAGTAAAACGCTAGGAAAACAGTCATCTAATAGTTTTTACATTTTGAATCTTTACCACTGTGCCATTTTGTACAGCATTTTCGGTTCTTTTTCTTATACTGACACCGATTTGTGTTGCAATCACCAGTGTATTTACAAGTATCGATTGATTTAAAATTTGTATAAATCTACTAACAAAATGTTTACTTAGTTCCGGAAAGATTCCAATGTGAACTTAAAGACAGATTTTTTTCATAGTCGTGATATAACCTTAATTACCAGTACAATTGCTACTCAGAATGGTAAAATAGGATATACTTCATACCAGTCAATTGTATATTTTTACATTGCAATCTAAACTAGTTGACTTCAAAATTTAAAAAGCAACTGGCTTCCACCTAGTTGACTTTCAAATTGAAGAGTGGACTAGTCGACTTTTAAATTTTAGAATGAACTAGTTGCCTTTTAAAGGCAACTGAGTTTTAGAGTCAACTCCAACTTTTATATATATTTAAATAAGCTATCTGTCATTTCCTTTTTTTGCTGTTAGGCTTTCTTTCATTTAAAGCGTGCAAGTATAAATGTTAACACATGCATATACGGAGTACAAGATACAGAAAACTTTCTTTTACTATTCATTTCTCTTTCCTTATATATATTCTACATACTGACGCGAATAATAATAATAAAGAATACGCTTTACATCAACATCCACTATCACCGTGTCTACATCGAATATAACAAGTGAACCAGGCAAAAAGGCGAAAAAGACGAAATTGATCAAATTATTTTAATGTACAACCATGCACGACAAATGGTACCACAAAGTAAGTACGTATCAAAAGTTACTTCCGATGAAGACGGATGAGAATAGTGGTTAATCACCAAACGTCGAAGATTATTGAATCTTTTACGTCCCGGACTTTGAAAAATTTATGATCGATTCTACGTTCCATCTAATTATCTCAAACCAGCGGTAGGACCACTGACAGAAAAATAACGTTCATGCAGAGTCGTGAAAAAATGCTTTTTCGTATCCAGCATACTCCATAACCTCGAAGATTTTTCATTTTTGGCAAGGTTTACTGCCAAAAGTTTAACAAAAATTTTGAAACTAATACTATTTTCCCTACGGAAATTTTTTTTCTCTATTTTGTTCGAAAAATTTTCCTAAATTTTTGGCAATACATCTTTATCAAAAATAGAAAATCTTCTAAGTTATCGAGTGTGCTGAATACGAAAAAGCATTTTTCCACGACTCTATGAAGTTTCTTTTTTCTTCACGTTGATATGCGGTTCGATTCTGAACAACTTTTATAGAAAGATTTGTAAAATGAAAAGATTTCGAAAAAAATATGTTATGTTTTTGATTAGCGAAGTCATTGAATCATAGTTTGCAACCCTATCTCTGGTATTTTCATCATTCTTTTCAACATTGTATTCAGACACAGAAATAAGCCCTTTGTGATTGATATAAAACGAATGGATACCTTCTGTTGTCTTCATTGTTTATATTCGTACAATTACAGATTTATGTCGTGTTTACATCACAATTAGGTTATTGTTGATCAAAAATAAATCTCTGTTCTAGTAGGAAGCGACGTTATATGATGGGGAGCAGATCCCTTAGCATCTGTAACATTTTTCGCACCGTTCTGCTTTGAAAAGGTTTCCGGTTTCGATTCGGATTTGAAGAACAGAAACGACGAGTCGCACTTCTGTATGATGTTCGTTTTTTTGTTTTGCACATCCGTTTTTTTCAAAAGTAGAGGTGTTAGGCGATTACTTTATCGGCGGCGATGGCGAAAAACTAAAGAAACATTTTCTGCCTTTGGCGACGACTAACACCTCTATTCACAAGCTCTTTAGGAATTATCTTAACTGATCCTGAACGCTCTTTAACGAATAAAAACAGTAGAGTATCGAATAGACAGAGGATGGTCTTCTTTAGAAAATGAAAATAATAAATATTAATTGTATCTTGTGCCTGGTTTTCTTGAGAATAACCTAGTACTGTTGTAAGAGTTGCTACAACATTTATCTGAGCAACATCGTGCTCTTACGGTCTTTATTGAGATATTTTAGCTTGAAATTGTAGAAATTTGTTCTTTCAGTAGTCTATTGAATCAGTTAACTAAAATTTTTTAAGATATTGAATTTTTCAAATGAACAAAATTCATCATGCTTTTCGTTTTAGAGTGAATTTATTTCTGACGGTTTATATGCTATTGAAGCTGTTCACTCTTCAAAATTCTTAACTCATTCAGCTGAACGTTCGATAATTGTTCAACAAACTCAATCATTAACAGATGTAGGCGTTTATTGTTCTCACGTATTTTGTATCAAAAAACAGAACGTTGTTTTCTGTTTTAGAGTGAGTCACAATGTTTTTATATTCAGCATATTGGCTATAATGATTATATCATTCAAGAATATCGTACTGGTTATATGTTAAGTGTCCAACATGGTTCACTACATCAAAATGCTCCCATTGTGCTAAACCGTTTTGTTGATAGAAATACATTGTGTCAAATATTCAATTTTGAATTAGCTAAACCGAAAACGAATGAATATTTCATATTTGTTAAACATACACGAATGGTATTCGATATTGAAGATGGAAATCAAAATTCCTACGCAAAATTAATACAATATTCACAACATAAAAAAGCAAATCAACGTTTCATATTTCATCGAGTCAATAGACCAACAAGTAGGCGTTAAATAACTGACTTACAAAATATGAGTCAGGGTCACTAATCTTCTCTATGCTTTTAGACTCATTAATTGCAATTCCACTGGAATATATTCGTTAATTCAATCAAATATTTTTATTTCTACATAAAGTCAATCCACTAATTCTGATATTTGCAGGAAAAAAAATTGTCAGATACTTTTTCTTTTTATCATGTATAATTCAGAAATAAATATAAACGAGTTTTGAGATATTTTATAACAATAATGTTTTCAAAATATGATTGAGATTCCCAAAGTTCAGCGCAAAATGTTTATTACAGTATATGCACGATCACATTTATAAATTTTTCAATAAGAAATAAAATAGAATTATAAATAACCGTCAGTAAAATTATCCATAAAAGTTGATCATTAAGCGTAAATGGAATGTAACGACAAAGTTACTTAATAAAAACAAACAGAAAGTCGTGTGTTAAAACGCTAAATTCTATTCAATTCTTTGGCCACTGTATGTGATAATTTAAATTTTTGAACTTTTCCTGTTGGTGTCGTATAGTCAGCAAACGAATTAACAATTTTGATATGTTTTGGAATTTTAAAAAAAGCCACTCTGTTCGATAAAAATCCTTCAATATCTTTAATATCAATATGTTCATTCGGTTTCAATTTGATCCATGCACATAGTTCCTCACCATAGCGTTTATCGGTAACACCAAACACTTGTGCTTCGGCTATTTTTGGATGTTCAGTAATAACATTTTCAATTTCAGTTGGGTAAACATTAATACCACCGATAATAACCATTTCTTTTTGTCTTGAACGAAAATAGAGATAACCTTCTTCATCCATTACAGCAACGTCTCCTGTTTTTAACCAATTTGATTCGGTTAGTATTTCACGTGTTTTATCTAAATCACCATAATATCCTTTCATAACATTGTATCCTCTTACCCATACTTCACCTTCATGACCAACAGCCACCGTTTCACCATTTTCGTTCACTAATTTCACTTCTAGACGTGGCATAGCTTTACCAACTGAACCAAATCGTTTTATTTTATCACTTCCAGCAAATGCGCTCAATGTCATTGCAGCAGCATTTTCTAAAATTGACAGAGTTTGTTTTTCTTCTTTTTAAACGTTTTGCTCGTCTTCAGCTTCATATAAGATTTTTTCTCATCTATTTATTCTCAATGTTGATTAAAAATGAATTAGTTTGAAAAGTGAAATTACTCGAACATAAACATTGAGAATTTTTACATACCTGTCATACCATAGCCTTGACATACATTTTTAATTGGTATTTCTTGTTCTAATTGTTCTAACAAAGCAGGAGCACTTGGAGCTGCACCAATAATTGCAAATTCCAACGAACTCAAATTATATTTTTTTCGATCACTATGCGACAGTAGATCTCGAAATATAATGGGTGCTCCTATAATCGCTGTACACTTTTCTTCATTAATTGATTTCATTGTGGCTACCGTATCCGGTAATAGGGCAGGAAAGACGACTGTATTTCCGTCTATTGATGCATTAAATGTTCCACATACTTCACCAAATATATGAAACAATGGTATTGGACAACATACTTTTTTCATAAAATCCGGATCTATTGCTTGTAGAGCATGACCGTTATTTATTATATTGAAATTTGTTAGCGTGGCTGCTTTAGGCGTACCCGTAGTACCTGATGTGTAAAAAATGGCTAAGGGCGTATCGGAATCCATTAAATCTTGATATTCAAACAATGTTTTTTGTCTTCCATTACCGCCATTATTTAATAATTCATTGTAAGAATGCATACTCGCAACGGATTTTGATCCCGTTAATATCACATGTTTTAATGTTGGAACGGCCTGTGATTTTAAATCACCAGGTTTTGAATGTTGAAGTTCTGGTGTAATTTTATGTAAAATATTTAAACAATCGATTGTTTTTACTTTTGGCTGCATAATAAGTCCTTTACAACCGACTTTATTTAAACAATATTGTAATTCACGCTCTAAATAAGCTGGATTAATGTTCACTTTAATGATGCCAAGTTTTGAACAAATATAGGTCATTGCTACATTCTCTGATGTATTTGGCAACCATACGCCAAGACGATCATGTTTTTCAAAACCAAGTTGTAATAATGAGGTGGCGACACTATCCACTTCATCTTTAAACGATTTGTACGTATAACGTTTATCTTCACCGCTGAAAATATAACATTCGTGTCTTGGTGATGCGGACGCTAAAGAATCTAAATGTTGTCCAACGGTTTTATAGATGAATGGCAAAGATGATGCATGGTGATAATAACTTTCCTGAAGTTTCGTCGTTGGCTTGGCTATATAGCTGTGATTAGACCTTGATGATAAATACTGACGAAGAATTTTTGAAATTGTAGATACGTGGAAATACCGCCTAGTTGAAAGCATCTAGAAATATACATTAGGATTAGAATACTTGCACCAAGGGTTATTAATTAGAGATATGCAGCACGTCCTTAATTTATCCTATCCTGCAGAATAGGGTAGGACCAGGACTTTGTTTAAGAACGATAAAATATATCGTGCCCATAACTGTGAATTCGACTTAAGGGGAGTTCCCTCACTCAGTTTTTTTCTCAGTTTGTAGAGGACACTTTAAAACATATATCCTATAAGTTTTTCGATTCCGAGACTGGTAGTTTTGGAGGAAAAAATCTTTTAAGTTTTTTTCTCGATTGTTTTGCCCAATTTTTGAAATCAAAATAAATATTTCAAATTTCAAGCTAAAGACTCGATTTTGGTGTCATTCGATAACGAACATTAAGTTATACATAGACCGAAAGTTTCATCGTTATCGAATAAAGTTTTACAGAGAAATTTAGTATTTATCTCGTCAATAGTATTTTAGGGCAAAAACTATTTTGTCAGGCGCTTGAACAGAATTTTTCTTCTGGGAAGTATTTTTTGAACAAAAGTGTGGGTAGAAAAGCTGTTTAGGATGTGATTTTACATGGGATGAGCGGAGGAATTTTTGCAATTCATTAAACTTGATTTTTAAATCAAAAAATACGAAATTTTTTCAATTTGAAAAACCTCTTTTTCAGTCTAAAAATCAAGTTTAACGAACATCCTCCGCTCATCCCATGTAAAATCACATTCTAAACAACCTTTCGGCCCACTCTTTTGTTCCAAAAATGCTTCCCTGAAGCGAAACTTTGTTCAAGGTCCTCGGCGATTTTGCGCTCCGAGACAGCGCAAAATAACTTCGTAAACTTCCAAACTTTTTCATACATATCTTGAAGTATCCTCTACAAATTGGTAAAGTTTGAAACAAATGCAAATGGGAGGACTTCTGGATAATAGTAAAACATGAAGACACCCACAGACAACTAAAAATAACTACACAGATATCCACTGCTACTGAATGTCTGTGGTATCTTCATGTTTTACTATTACCCAGGAGTCCTCCCATTTAGATTTGTTTCAAACTTTGCCAATTTGTAGAGGATACTTCAAGATATGCTTGAATAAAGTTTGAAAGTTTACGAACTTGTTGTTCACTCAAGGACTCCTTTCCTTGAGAAAGGATATTCAGTGCTATCGGACGAGTTGGATGGAGAAATAGTCGATGATATTATGTTACTAAGATATTTTAAAGTGTTCTATTATAAAAATAAATGTGAAAAATGGGATAAGAAATTCTTTAAAAGCTCAAAACGAAAAAATCTTTTTGAAAGTAATGGTTAACGGTTTTATAATTGTCAAAATGCGTTAGAGTAATCGTTTTTGTGTACTTTCAAATGTGCTCGTTCTTTTCTTGTATAATAACGTTCGTTTAAATTATGTATCATGCGGCACAACGATTGACTACTTGATATTCGCGGAAAAACAGTTCAAATTTAACTTTTTCTGCTAATTCTATTAGGAAAAAGGAATATATTCAAATAAATCCTTCTACAGAGAAATGGAAACATCTTGATGTGTAATACTGAAATAAAGGCATTTTAATAGAGATACTCTTACATAAACAATCACTAGAACCAATTAATTAATATTTTTACTTCATTGTACAGTAGTTTACTTTACTTTCTTTATTTCCTAGTTTCTTTCCTCCAGTTTATTATCCGCTAAAAATAATCGTATATGGAATTGTTTAAACAAACAGACATATCAAATTTGTTTTCCCTTTATAATAGTGCTGACATTGTGTAGATTCCAATAACGTTGCTAGACTTTTTGTCGAACACATAACTACTTGCCATAGAACACATGATTATGTTCAAAGGTACAAAAAGTAATATATCATTCTAAATACTAAAATGATAAATTAATCATTACCTGTTGTTTTTGTTTCACATAACATATGATCTAACGACTAAGGGATGCTGTTGCTAGACCTCAGACGTTTTTGATCGGCAGCATCACTTTGCATTAAATACATTGCAAAAGAATAGCAATCAATAATTACCCATTCAAAATAAATTTGAGATGGAAACATTCTAAATGCACTTAGATTACACTAGTGATTTGATTACATGCAGAGGTCTGCATTTAATTAAATCACCACTGTAGTCTAAGTGTAGTCTAAGTGCATTTAGAATGTTTCCATCTCAAATTTATTTTGAATGGGTAATTATTGATTGCTATTCTTTTGCAATGTATTTAATGCAAAGTGATGCTGCCGATCAAAAACGTCTAAGAATCACGAAAGGAAGCACTTTTTTTTCCTTGGCCGTTAGATCATTACTATTACATACAAAAAACAATTAACGAACAATATATTTTGAAGCGAACCGTTTACACATATGTCAGGTTGAATAGATCTGAATAGTACAAAAAATTACTGGACCATGGATACACACTGTCAATTTACTTTTATGCCTTTGTACCTCCCGTAGTACGTATAATGAAAGCAAAACCTTCTTCTTACATCATCATCCTCATATGTCATGACAAAAAAATTGATAGTTTATCAAGATTCATTTTGCAGAGACAATTAGTTATGTGTTCGACAAAAAGTCTAGCAACGTTATTGGAATCTACACAATGTCAGCACTATTATAAAGTGAAAGCAAATTTGATATGTCTGTTTGTCTAATCAATTTCAGATGTAATTATTTTTACTGTTTTAATTTAAAATTAAATAAGAATAAACATGAGATTTCTCTGACACATGTCCAAGGGGAAAAAGGCGACTTTTTTCTTTCTGCATCACATGCTGAGCATCTCAAGCGTAGGAAAGCATCTCAAGGGTTCCGGAAAGCTCCCGGAGCCGTCTTTTCCCCCTTGGATATGTCAATCATAGATCAACCTGAAATAGATCGTATGTGTACATACTTGTATTATTCACCAACTAGTGAGTACTCGTCAAATTTGAACGGATAGTAGAGGAGATAGTAGAGACGCATGTTCCATATTCCGATCGGGGATATGTTTCTACACTGAGAGAATACGTACGAAAAATCATCAATAGAAAAGCAAAAGAGAAAGAAAAATTAGAAAACTGACGGAGTTTTAGTTATATTTTCGATTTTCTTTCTATTCTTTTCTTTCTTACTTTACGATAGATATTTATTCTATTGAAATAGACCGTATACATTTTGTAGACTTTGTACTACTTTTAATCGACATAAGTAAGCCAATGACATTTAAAAACTATGAATGCTTACAATTTCAATATCTGCTTACAAAAATAACTACGGTTCATCACCTAAATCACATAATTTCAAAAATATACTTTATATTGTACAAAAAATGAATACATTAAATTCCTTATTCAAATAGTGTGTTCATTATAGAAATAAAATTTCTTCTTCAATGAACCCTAGAAAAGTCACATGTTAACGCTATTCATTAGAAAGAGTAATAATATCGAACGAAAAAAGTGTTTGGTCTTACCTGGCACTCAGCCAACGAACAAATATTTTGGCATAAATCTTTCTTTTCCTTTACTAAGCAAAAAAGAAATGAGTGTCCGTATCGGAAATTTTTTGAACTCTAATTCTCCATTTCAAATTTCTTAATGTCTCTCGTGAAACTCGTTCTTAATTTTTCTCAAGGATTTAATTGTTGATGACTAAATCGGAAAACCTATTCTTTTATATTTGTCTTTCTCTTTTATTGGTGTCCTCTCCCAACTTATTGTTTATTCATTTCTTTTTCTATTTCTTATTTTATTTCTCTCTTCCTGCAATTCTTTACCATTTGCGAGACGACACACCCTATAAAAAAATTATAATAGTATTTTTATAAAAGTATGGCACTGAAATTTATTTAATAAGTTTAAATAGTTTTTTATTATGGTTGTTTATACTGAATTTTGTATTAGAATGCGGCACTGATCAGTACCACATTGACATGCCAAAACCATAGGGCATTGCCTCGGCACTTCTCTTATGAGAAGAAAAATATGAAGTCAGAAAGACATTTGAAATACTAGAAGTAGACTGTGGGTTAGTATAGACAGAAATTGACAAAACAAAATGGTGATTGAAAACAAAACTTCGGCACTGGTTATTTAGGTTTCGTTTTTCGGGTGGGCGGTTGAAATATTTGGAAGGCCGCTTGGTTAAAAAAATTTTGCTAAAATGGAATCAACTGTTTATTTTCAGGTGGGCGTCGTCTATCCGGCCCACCCACTAGATAAATCACTGCTAGTGTGCACGATATACCATGTTGCACTGGCTCGACACCGGTGCACACTAGTGCCACACTTTTTCAGTTACCGTTTTGTTTTCTAGGTTTGGTTCCACTATGTTTTACTTGGACTTTTCTTCAAGAACATAGTGCAATCAAATTTTAATGCTTTCGTCGAGCCGACGATGCTTTTATCATGTCATAATCTATCTGAAAAGGAAAAGTCAATGTAGATAGAGAGTCAGATCGTAAATTTAGAGGAAGTACACACCAAATTTGGCTCTCTGTTCTCTCATCTAAACACGTCCCCATTTTCGTTCGCTATAGTCACAATATTGAACTATCAGAGTTTTGGACAAGTTTTCTTTCGAGAAACATTTCTTAATCAACTATAGTCAATTAAGTTTTTTCTCGCTGTATTTCTCAGCTCTGGATCAATATTTAACTGCAGTTTGATCTCAACATAAAAGTGATAAAGGCTGACGTGTTTTGGTTCATTCACTTGCGAGTTATACCGATAAGGTTACGTTTGCCGTATGTGAAGCATTGAGCATTCACACTTGGACTTTCAGAGAATGTCTATCCGTGGATATTGGTGCTCGATCAGTTCGTTGCTAGAGCTAATCTAGCATTGTCTGAGTGAAGCGGTATAGCTTAGCCTCCAGTCTTCTGTGCATCAAACAGAACCGAACTGATCTTTGCTACATTCTGAAAGCCACCGAGGACACTTGCATTTGTGAAGACGTCAACCTTTTGATACATTTTCTCTCTTCTTGTCTGTGCATTTTTATTTCGAGAACTAAAACAATCACTTTGAGCATGTGCAGAAGCAGATACCCTCAACTTGATATATTATCTGAGAAAGGTGACGAAGAACGTATACCGAAGAAGGATCGTTCAATTCTGTGCCTATAGAGAACTACGAAGGATTTATGTCTCTTAAGCCGTTTTCTCCCGCCCTCCAAAATTGCTGTGTACGTACCCTGTAAAATACTTCATTTTTCTGAAATAATTTGATTTATAAGAGATCAAAAACAGATAAACGGTAAAAAATGAAGAGAAATGATCTCTCCACTACGTTAAGAAAAAATGGAGTGCGTATATATCACAACCGTCTTTTTCGAAAATATTGTTATGTAGAATACACACGTGTCATATTTGGGTGTATATATGCATCACGTGTCGTATTTGGGTGTATATGCATCACGTGTATTCTATATAATAATGTTTTCGAAAAGATCGTTGTGTACAGAGTGCCCAAATCTCCTGATTTTTTTACTTTTCTCCTGATCAAAATTCTCCTGATTTCAGGAGCTGATTTTCAAGATTTTCTCCCGGTTTCTTCTGATTTTCAATTGTTTTCCTGTATCGATTTTAGCGACATTTTGGACCAATAAAAAAGCGGAGAAGAAAAAGAGAATTGGTGTTTAATACAGTCATGTTGCACAAAAAAACACAGACGGTATAGCAAACAGTTTGTTCTCCATATTCGCTTTGTTTTTCTTTGGTTCTTGTCGGTTTCTTAAGAAATATTTGTGTCTGTTTTGTTTATACTGTTAAATCAACAGCTGGGAAAACACCAGTAGAATACATTACATGTAATCATCTTTCTCTCCTTTCCTTTGTTTCGTTTGTAAGACAGACCTCATTACTTGCTTGGTAGAAAAAAATCGCACGCGTTTGTGGGAATGGAAATGGAAATTTTTCTTGTCCAAGAAAAAACTGCATGATACTGCTGTTTTGCTCCTGATTTCGGAAAACAATCTCCTAATCAACTTCTGATTTTTACGAAAAACTCCTGTTTTCTAAAAATTGGATTTGGGCACCCCTGTTTGTGTATGACATATACACACTTAATTGACCATAGTTGATTAAGAAATGTTTCTCGAAAGAAAACTTGTCCAAAACTCTGATAGTTCAATATTGTGACTATAGCGAACGAAAATGGGGACGTGTTTAGATGAGAGAACAGAGAGCCAAATTTGGTGTGTACTTCCTCTAAATTTACGATCTGACTCTCTATCTACATTGACTTTTCCTTTTCAGATAGATTATGACATGATAAAAGCATCGTCGGCTCGACGAAAGCATTAAAATTTGATTGCACTATGTTCTTGAAGAAAAGTCCAAGTAAAACATAGTGGAACCAAACCTAGAAAACAAAACGGTAACTGAAAAAGTGTGGCACTAGTGTGCACCGGTGTCGAGCCAGTGCAACATGGTATATCGTGCACACTAGCAGTGATTTATCTAGTGGGTGGGCCGGTTAGACGACGCCCAGCTGAAAATAAACAGTTGATTCCATTTTAGCAAAAATTTTTTTAGCCAAGCGGCCTTCCAAATATTTCAACCGCCCACTCGAAAAACGAAACCTAAATAAAACACTGCATACTGGTAGTGGCGGCCCTTCTCCAGTGCTGCACTGAAATATTTTTGTAGGGGAGCTGATCAAATTTCTCATAAGAAACTTGCAAGAATGTGATAAGACCTATAAGAATACGATAAGAATAACGTAAGAGTTCTGCTGATTCTTACCAATTTCTTATGAAAGCCTATATGAATCTTACAGGATTCAGCAGAATTCTTGTCACTTTCATGGAAGGTCTGATATAAGATTTGAGTAAGATTTTTATAAGATTCTTATCGGATTTCACAAAAAGTTTGTGGTGAGGGTCTAAGGTTTTTGTGTTTTTCTTTGTAAAATATACTCCGATTTGAATATTTTCTCTACATAAAATAAATTTCAACGTCAAAAATTTCATTGTCTATTGATAAGAAAATTATCACTTTTTAAAACTGATCATCGCTCTCTGGCGACTTTCAAATCAAGAGCAACTTATATTACTACGTAGTCTTGTCTGCAAAATGGTGAAAAGCGGCTGTTTTTTATCACAATTATTGACAAAATAGCAATCAAAATTGACTATTTGTTCTAAACATTTTCTGTTTGTGACTACCACGCCTCCCTATAAAACTGAAAATTTTTCAAGCATATTTTGTGATGGTACTCAACTCGAAGACTTCAATGTATGTATTTGACTTTTATTGGCATCAGCTTGCTACTGAAACAAGTCATACTACAAAATCGATTGTTTCATTCAACAAGTTCAACTTGAAGTCGATGGAAAAACTATGATGTAAGCGTTTTTCCTGAAATATTTCCGTCAGATATTTGTATACAGTAATGCTCTTACTATACTGAAACTTTTGTGTTTCCATTTATATAGCGCTGGACATGGCAGAATTGCAATGGAATTATCTATATTAAATGAATGACTACAAAGAAAGTAATAAACTAAAAACAATACAGCACTGTTGCAATTTAAGGTTTTAATATTGAAAAAAAATAAAAATAAAAATCTACACGTTATGCATGCAAGGACACTAACAAAAGAAACATGTGGAAGAATTACGATATATTCGTTGATACTTTGCCAATGATTCTCCATCAGGAAATCCTATGTGAGAAAAAAGAAGATATAGGCAATTTGTAAAGACAATAAAATACTTACATATCACCAAATATGCCAGCAAATGTTCGTTTAAGATTATATAATGTATCTTCTGACTCGTCTTTATTTGTATTGTCAGAGGCTCCCTATCAAAGCATATTAACGGCATTATGATACTTCATAAAAGGTTTCATTTTACGCTTCTTACTTCTCCATCTGAAGTGGCGGATGATTGTTTTCTTAAGCCAAATTGATTTCCAATGGTCCCCATCCATTGCGAGGGAGTTGTTCGCGTTACGGATGTTGTAGCAGTTAAAGCAGTGGAAGGAGAAGTAGTATTCGTATGATGCGTTGATGGAGTATTATTAGTACTATTCGGTGAAGGAAAATTCAATGGATGTGAAGTGGTAGAGAAATTTGTGGTAGTAGTCGAAGGAAGATGAGCTTGGTGAGAAGAATTTTGGTTGTAGAATGGATTATGTCCTTCTCTTCCTGTTGCGGTTGATGAAAGGTTTGTAGTAACATTACTATTATTATTATTACTAGTCGGTTTATTTTGTAATGGCACATTCGGTAATTGTCTATTTAGTTCACGTGGACTGTTTGCTGTTGAATGATTCGTCATACTATGTGAGGTAGGATTGCTAATAGGAGATGGAGTTTGCATTGATGAAACCGGAAAATTTGTCTGTGTAGGGCTTGGTATATGTCTAAAAAAGTACTACAACATAATAATCTTTATAGTATTTGAAGTACACATGCTCGTACGTCAGTACAGTCGGTTGTTTATCTGGTCTGCAATAAATTTGCATTTTATGCAGCACTAATTCAGCAATTGATCGACGATCTTCATCTTGTGTTTCGCCTAATAATTGCATTGCTGAATCATTCACCTATGAATCAAAATAAACAATCAACTCTTTAATATTCAAAATATTGAAATTCGAATGAATTCTCCGTAAAAACTGCAAATGTTTTATACCTGTACAATATGTTCTTTTCCATCTTTGGTTTGTACAATTTCTACGGCACATATGTCGAGTCCACCGAATAATTGGCTAACTTCATCAATCCATAAACGATATCTACAAGTGACCATTTTAACAATAAATAAAATTATCAACAGTTTGACTATTTATCTACCTCTCTGTCATATTAATTTGTTCTAACATTGCACTACCGGTGTTGGCTTTCCAATTTCCTGTCAACGATTTTCGTCTAGAAGAAAAATAATGTCATAAAGTAATAGTAAAAAGTGTTTAATAAAGAATATTATTTTTCAAGGACAAATTATACGGATACATTAACCCATCAGAGTCAGATAGATGTGAAAAATCTTCCTTGATCAATAACTCAAATCCAACGCTGAATTTTAAAAAAAATGTTGATATTTTATATTTTTTTCTCTATTCTTTTATCAGCGAGGTTCGTTTGCATTTAATTTAATACTTGTCTTCCACAGTTTTCAAACTTATAGAAAAATTTAATTTTTACGAATGACATGAAAATTCATTACTACTTTACGCAAACACTAAACAATAACCAGTGATAAAGCGTTCGCTTAGACGATCGTAAAAAAAAATAAATTGATATAATCATACATAAATGCTTTGTAATATTGTCCAATTTTTTGAACATATACATCACATCTGGCGTCGATGAACGTTTCAACAGTTGAATAACAATTACTGATGGCGACAACACTTGTCAAATCTTGGTAATTATAAGGATTCTCAACTTTGACCTAAACAAATCAAAGTAAACTATTGTCATCAAATAAAATTAAAATAAAAATGTTGTTTTACATACTTTTCCTAGGCCCTGATGGGCTTGACCAACTTTAAGTACGCATGGGAACTGTGGCGAAATCAACTTTAAAAGAAAGAGTATGTTACAAAACTCTTAACTATTAACAAAGTGTATCATGAACTAAATGTTTTGAGGAAGGACACGTACCCATAGATTACTCACCATCTCTCTATGATTGGGATAATATGCTTGATTTATCAATGGAAACTGTTCTATACCTAAACGTCGTTGAATATTCAATAATTCAGCAAACTAAACAAAGAAAATCTATTTGTAATAAATCGTTTTTTATATAATCAATATTATGCTTACCACCCACGGTTTATCACGAAAATTATACAGTGCTTTCATTGAATTAACACCCGGCACCCCTAGATTTAAACTTCATTATAATGAAAAAACCTCTGTCGTATGTTTTGAGAGTAAATATTACCTCCATATTGTAGACCAAGAATAATATTAGTCCAATCAATGTTAATATCACGTACATATTGGCGTACAAGCACAAAATCAGGTCGAAATGATCTATAAAGTAAACAATGTATCTCATTTACATTACTCACTGTGAAACAACAACTATTAACTTTGATTAGGAACTAATATGCAGAAACCACTTTCCTAATAGATAATTTCTTACCGGACAACACGTGTACCACTCCGTTGAACATTAATATCTACTAAAGTACCAGCATCAGAATAACTAGCCAGATTAATATCTTTGAATTCCGCCTAAAAGCCCAGTTATAAAATTAAGCAACTACATACAGTACTTTCTGCAATTAACAAAACAAAACTTTACAATAATTAAAGCGCACTAATTAGAATACTCAGTTTACATGACAACGTTTATATAGAAACCTGCTCAACACGAATATCCCAGTCCGCAAAAATTTTCTTTCCTCGAAAATATGTATACCTATCGATAAAATACGAAAGAGATGGTAACAAAAACCAATATGTGTGAAACTTATACTCTCACCAGTCTGTATGTTGATCATCGATAACAAGTAATAATTTACATTTTTCTTTATTTGTTTGCTGTTGATTTTGTGATTGTTGATTCATTGTGGATACGGTTGATATTGTAGGCTGTTTTTGCATAGCTTGATTAACAACACCGAGTGCTGCATGCATCATTTGATTTGCGAATGATAAATTTCTTGTTGGAGAACTTGGTGCCGATGGTGAAGGACCTACTTTTCTTTCCCATGGTTGTTGTTGATGTGATTGTTTTATATGTGATATGGAATTTGTTAATGTTTCATTATTCATTTCGACTGGTATATCATCATCTTTAAAATCATTTTGTAGATCCCCAGACGAAAATCGACGTATTAAATTTTTCAGCATAATTGATTGTATAAAACGGAAGTTATTTCAGTCAAACAGAATCATAACGGTGATCTAATGAATATATATGAAAATAAAAAACAAAAATTGAATGTGTTTGAAGAGATAGCGTGTGTGTCTACGTGGTTTTTCTTTCTATTTGTGTGATCATTAAACTACTAGTTGCCCATATATATATATATTTATATATATATATATCGTGATGAAGGAGATTTTAGAAAGAGAAGAAAAAGATTTTCTCATTACAAATACAGCGCCCTCAAAAACAAGGGTTTCACGATAGTGACAAAAAGCATTTGACCTAATTATTCAAAAATGTTTTTAAAATTACATAGAGAGACATTTTTTCAAAGTCTTCATATTAACTATTATATTCAACATATACGAAGACTAAATCAACAGTAGAAAGACGATAAAATTCTTTTCTCATCAAGTATCCTCAATAATTGGAATAATCTGAAAACAGAATGATCGAGTCAAATGCATATATTAAAACCATAAAAAGCTTGACCTATTTGATCTTTAACTATTAATTTTCATTCTTCTATTTTACATCATGATGAATAAGTATAATTTGATTTCCTCTCTGCATACTCGCCAATTTTTTGTTGTAGAGTTTCGTCTATTACTATTATTCATTATTCTACACGTTAAATGATTAGATTTATTCAACCAAAAAAAGTGATAAAAGAGTATGAGCGTCATGTATTTGAAAAGAATTTGTTGTCAATAAAATGTAAAGTAGGGATCTAACAGGAGAACGTTTCAAAGAACCTGTTTCTTCCTTTGCTTGTTCCGATCTTCAATAATGTAAATTGTGGTAATTATGTAAATTTCGTTCGGAAAAGAAAAATATCACTTGTTTAAGTTGATAAAAATTCAACCAGGAAAACATTTATCTTAGAATAAAAGGTCGTCAAGTAGTTCGCTCTAGGATCTAGATGAATTATTACTTTTGTTTGATGATACTAAAACACTATGAATCTAACTATTTATGTTATCATCAAAAAGTTATACTTAAAAATTTATTGACCGAATATCTCAAAAATGACCCATCTGGTACGTGAGAGTATGAAGGTCAATAACTTTTTGATGATAACATAAATAGTTAGATTCATAGTGTTCTAGTATCATCATATAAACGTGTAATTCATCTAGATCCTAGAGAGGACCACTTGAAGATCTTTTATTCTAAGATAAATGTTTTCCTGGTTCGACGTTTATCAATTTAACAAATGATGTTTTTCTTTTTTGAACGAAAGTCATCAACTTTTTAACAACATAATTACCACAATTTACATTATCGAAGATCGGAACAAGCAAAAAAAACACGACTGCTCTCTCTCTCTCTCTCTCTCTCTCTCTCTGAGATACATTTGTTACTACTATCTAGATTTTCCGAAATACTTAACATAAGAATACAGCAAAAAAAAGAAAGAAACAGGCTCTTCTTCGACAAAAAACTTATTTGGGTTTTGTCGTATATAAATTTGTCCCTGCCTGTAGTGCATTACACACATATTGAAAGAAGCGAGAAGTGTTTTTCTTCTCTCTTTCTTTTCATGGAAATTATCCTAGAATAATGGTTCAACCAATGAAGGGCTGTTCTCTACATACTGAGAACGACAAAAAACTCAGAGAAGAAGACAAGTGTTTAGTTTAGTTTATAAAAAAACAAAACAGCTAATGGAATATTTATAGAGCTTTTTGCTAGATAGATGTGTGCGAGTGTGAAGAAATGCTATAAATCAATAACAAAAATCTGGCTCTGTTGATAATGACGCATCAATATAGATTCAGGTGATACATCCCTAGACAAAATTCTACGCACTTCCTGTCTATTTCCATCTAGAATCTTACAGGATCCTAACATTTAGGATCCACCTAATAACTTCCTTCCTAACAGGATCCTAAAATGCTGGCACCCTGCTAGGATTTCGCTTAAGTTTGTTTAGAATCATAACAGAATCGTAGAAAATCCTATGACTTTCGAGTATACCTGATTTCTTTAGGATTCTGTTAGGATCCGCAGAAATTAAAGCAAAATCCTAGTAGAATACTGGGAGGATATGTCTCGGATCGCGTCAGGAAACTCATAGGATTTTTACTAAGGATGTAACAAGTGTTCTCACGAGACGAGTAGGCCAAATGTGTATCATATAACGGGCGATATTAACGTCTCCCTAAGGAAAAACTTTTTTATCTTACATCCGATTCCGATGGCGTTTACAGTGACTAATGCTTACTATCCGACTAGCTTATGCTAAAAATTCGAGATCGAAACATTGCCGAGCTGTTGCGATACAAGGGGCAAAATGGGGCTCTTAGTGAAAACGTTTTTGAAATTTCGAGACGTGTCTGCAACGATGAGTGTGTCCTCGGAAAACGTCTGTATCTCAGGAATCAAAGGAGATGGAGATAATAATTTAATGTTAATTAAGTTATTTAAACGATAATAATTTATGTTTCATTTGAAAGAGCATGTAAAGACGTACAAATATATGTTAAAATATTTGAGATTTCTGAATGAAGACAGTCTATGAAAAGCTTTAATTTTTTAACCACAGCAAATATACTTATAGATATAAGATTCTTAGCGATAAATTTGTAGAAAAAGATAATACACCTGTCTAAGTCAGGGCTTCCTAACAGTAATGTGACCACAACAAAGAAAACTTAAAAATGTTAATATGAATTCAAATTTTTAATGAAATTCCTCAAACAGACACTTAAAATTAGTTTTTCATTTACTGGTGATGAAGAAAAAGGAAAGGTATTTATATATCACTTGACTGCTGGTAACGAGCTATTAATTCGTGTATAATATGTGCGGCAAATATTGAATTTCAATACAAGTCTTTACTGTTTTTACAAAATATGTTCGACATAGTTAAAATTAAGGCTTTTCATAGACTGTCTCCAATCAGAAACTTCAAGTATTTTGACATATACTTGTACGTCTTCACATGCGCTTCAAATGAAACATAGATTAGATTCTAAGACTACAGTATATGATAACAGCATAAAAAACCAAAAAAGAAAAGCTTTTCAACCATCCGTTATAAATCGCGATTAACAGTTTCACTAAATATGTCTATATATTACTCTAAGTCGAAAAGAACAGACTCGAATGGTAAGCTAATATAACAATAGAAAACTACAATCAAAAAGAAGAAAACAGTATGCTTAAGGGGGAGTAACCACTCCCAAATCTGGCCTCAAATTATGCCAGTTTGTAGAGTACGTTGAGTACAATGTATCTTCAAGAAAATTCAGCGGTCCTATATATTGGTGGAATTATGAATTTGTTAACGGTAGCCTTTGGTCAAAATTTTCGGTCTAGCGGCTGATTTTTGATATCTCAAAAGTCATTCAGGAATAATGACAAAAATTTGGTTCAAGTATGTTTAGATGCACAATTATTCATAGTTATTATGTATGTAAAAAAAGGGAGAAAAAATTTTCTATCTAGCAGACTTTTTATAAATTTTTTCTCTGAAACTGATGCCAGTTCAATGTAATCTGATCGTTTGCATTATTCTTTTCTTCAACCCCTCTTGCTCAAATATAACGAATAATATATCATTCGAATCAGCTACTCAAGCACTACAAAATCCTGTATTTTTTTTTTAATTTGTCATGGATGTCGGGTTTTTTCGAGATTTTTTCATACATGGGCTTTTATATGAATTAAAAGTCCATATATTATCAAAAAAGAATGCCGTTGACTATTTCTTTAATAACTTTTGAACAATGCACTTTGAAGACTTGTGGTTTCCAGTATTGCATAGAGGAGATCATTAGCTACTAGTTGACATAAAAATATCTCAGAAAATACCACCTGCAGGTAGTATACCTTATTAGTCTTTGAAAGAATAGGTCGCGGGTCCAAGATCTACCAGAGTGATCCCTGGATTTCTCAGGTAGATATGATAGTCTAAAATGTCCTTTACAAAATGGGCATGAAGCGATGTCTTAATCTTTCGTGGTTTAGGCGCGACATCGGATTTTCTCGAAGCTTCAGGATCGATATTTTCTGAGATGTCGATGATCGATATTTCCACCTTGAAAATTAATGAAAACATGGGTTATCCATCACGCTGAGTCTTGTGATAATGTTTGTTTTTGACACGAACTTATGCACGCATTTCAAAAACAACGAAGCATTTTGAAGAAAAATTTTCGCTGGTAAAATTGTTCAGGATCATCCTCTTCATACCCTTAGCGGAGAACTTTTTTCATTTTAATGGCAAAATTTTAAAATAAATTACTTAAAATTTATGTAAATTGCATTTATTTCAAACTTTTCCCACTAAAATGAAAAAAGTTCTCCGCTAAGGGTATGAAGAGGATGATCCTGAACAACTTTACAAGCGAAAATTTTTCTTTAAAATGCTTCGCGGATTTTGTGTATAACTAGATGGTTATACAGATGAAAAAGCGATAATAAGAATTATTTCAAAAAGAAGAATAAAAACGATTTAAAAGATCGTTTTCCGCTATTTTACACATTTTTTCCCCCAAAGGCTTTTCAAATGACCCACTACAAGTCAATTACATTAATTAATGAATCAATTGATTTATCGATTGATAAACGACAGCCAGGTTTCTCTCTCAATCGGGATACACCAGTAGTGAATCAGAAATTTAAAACAAAAGTTAAAACAAAACAAACTGAATTCAAACTAAAGAATAAGCTAAGACAGAACTCACCACTCAGCTCTCGAATAACTTTGACGTCTAATATATCCTAACCCTCTGTTGACTGAGATACATCTAAGGCAGACGCTAGGAGAAATCGTTGTAAAAGATCCAGAAATCACGCTGAAAATAGATCATTGCGGTTGTCCCTAAAAAAAGGAAAAGAAAAGTCATTGTCTAGGACAATGTGTCTTTGTCTTAGACAATGACTTTCTTTTCCATTTTTCAGGGACAACCATCATTGCTTCTCAGGTATTTTGACAACTGCATTCTCGCGAAATGTTACGGTAAATATGTAA